GTCGGTCGGTCGGTCGGTCGGTCGGTCGGTCGGTCGGTCGGTCGGTCGGTCGGTCGGTAGGTCGGTAGGTAGGTAGGTAGGTAGGTAGGTAGGTAGGTAGGTAGGTAGGTAGCTGAGTAATAGTGCATATTTTGATTTTTAATTTTTTCTATGTATATAGATTATATAGATATGGATATGTGCGCGTGTACACATACATGCATACATGTGTTTGTATACATATCTTTCACCTGTCTTACCGAGGCTCAAGGGCTGGCAGTTGAGACCCTGAGCTCGAGAGTTTCCCGGCTGTGTTTTTTTTTTGCCAGGGCGCCGCCTCTCTTTGGTATGGGAGCACCTCGGAAGGCGTTTCTTCAGATGCTACAGCTGCTACGTCGTCTGGGAGCCTCGTGGCCTTCCCGGCTGGCCGCACCTTCGGGCAGGGCCTGGATGCAAGAGCTTGCAAGGGGATCGCTTCTCACAATGAAAAGACTTGTAGGACATGCTTACGGCTCAGAGGTGAAGCAGCCGGAAGAATCCAGAGGTGTTCTGGCCGCTGTGATAACGGCGATGCCGCTAATCAGTCGCACTCATGCTAGTTGCTGGGTATTGATGCCGTTACTGTGGTGATGCTTGAGAGGAAGAAGAGACAATGACGATGACGACGGTGGCGGCGCCAGTGACGACGGCGACTACGACCACACGACGACAGCGGGGGCGCAGGAGTCGTGGTCGTATTGAACTGCTACCTGCTACCAGAATCAGTCTAGCAGCAGCAAGCTTGCACGAAGTACCTAACAGAACGAATGGGTATCCACGATGTCTGGTGCCTTCCCCGTCATATCCGCAAGTAGAACATGAGCAACCTGGCGAACTCCGGGACACGTCCAAAGTCTTAAGTGAGAGGCTACTAAGAGGTCGGAGCTGACACCAGGCTGCGGCTGAGAGCTGATTTTAGATTGGAAGTGTTGTTACCGGTCTCAGCTCGATGTTCTACGTGCTGTTGGCTGGCGGCTAGAGCGCAACAGATCGAGAAAGCAAGGAGCTGGCGTCCTGGGGTGTTGATGCGGGGAATGACTCCGTTCACCACACAGGGCTTGCAGCCGTCTACAACTTCTGCGGAAGGCCTTCTTCGTGACCTGAACTCTACCGAAGTTGCCTCAGCTGGGACTCAGGCATCCTTTCGATCTCTCAGACCCGAAAAAAAAGTGAGGCTTCGAGACACACCGAGGCTTCATCGAGTGCCGACTGTCAAAGACGCGTTAACTCTGCCAACGGGCGGAAGTTCGGTACTGCTGCAAGTACCTGACACCGTGGTGGAAGCTCGAACCGTGCAGCGTTGAGGGATCTGAAGTCGCCGAACCATCGCAAGCGCCACACGAAAGGCTCTACACCGCTTTTTCGGAACCGGCTGAAATGCTTGCAAACTTCAAAAAACCGCCCAGACACCCAGTGCGGCGGCAGTTGCACCTTCAGACCAGGAGAAAGAGAAAAATCGCAAGGAACGAACGGACCCAGCCTTTGCAGGTCCCTGTAGGTCCAGCAACCGCTGCAGCACAGCTTTGTACCTTATTCAGGGCTAAAAGGAAAGAAGAAAGAGCGAAGGATGGGGCGTTTGGGAGCCGAGCTGCGAGGAGGACTCGAAGTGGAGCCTCTTCGTCTGAGTTTTCGCCCCGGGCCACTGCCGCAAGGCTGCGTAGGCCTCCAGCGAACCCTGGAGAGACGCGAACGGCAACAGCCACGCCAGGCTATGCCAGGCTGAGGCGCCTGCCTTTCCTGGCAACTTCTTCGAGGTCCGAAGCATGAAGCCTTCGCCTCACCGAGAAAGGCCCTTGAAGCACGCTGCACCTCCTTAAAGCACGATGGCCAAGGGGCGTCCCAGGAGCTCAACCTGGAGCAAAAGCTTCAGCGTGTGCTCCACACTTGGGTTCCCAGCTTGACTGCCCCCCTCTCTCTCTCTCTCTCTCTCTCTCTCTCGCTGACAGCGCTGTGGTGTGATCGGGACTACTTCACCGTTAACAGTGGCAACTGTCACATCGGGGCCTCGAACCTTGTGACAGCTGTCGGTTTGCAGGCTAGCATCTAGGTCATGACGTCGTCTTAAGGTTGTCGCGTTTTGAACCCTGACATCTGGGCGTGTCTTGCACAAGGAAGCTATGCAGCAGCTCAACTTTACAGGAGCACTCTGCTTCATGCGAAAGCCATGGAAGTGGCCGTCGTGGCCTCGAAGTCACCATCGAAGTCCCTCACGGCATCATCCTGGGCATCTGGGCAGTGCTCCGGTCACATTGTATGCCTCTTTTGGCCTCTGCCATCACTGCCCTCCTGCACCCAGAGCACCAAATTTTCTGGCTCTGAATGCATGCGCTGCAATCCGCTGCAACATGCTGGAGACCTAGCGGTTGGCCCATGCTGCCATGCGGCAACAGCGAGCCGGCTCTTCCAAGCTTCTGCTGGGCTTGGACCTCCTGGGCCCAAGTGAGGACATGCCGACCACAGGTTATGGTTGCAGACTACAGTGACTACAGACTACAGTGCAAAATTGCCTCTTAAGTTCTGTAGACGGGGCGGTGCAGATTCGGAGTTTCCAAACCCTCCTTCTCATATGCAGGATCTGGCTCCCTTCGGAGGTTGGCGCTGCGGCGGCTGCGGGGCCGGCCGTGGTTGCGGAGCCTTGGTGCAAGCTGAGGGTGAAAGCAGTTTGCGCCTCGCTTTGCCAGTCGGGAATCGGGAAAGAGAACCCGGAAAGGCTTCGGACTTCTGAGCCCCGGCCTGGTGCTGATGGTGTGGCGACGGCTGCGACTGCTGTGGCAGCCTCAGCGACCCTCGATCCAACAATATTCCAACACTTTACACAAAGGCTTCACAGAACATCCCCCTGAATCCATAAGCTCCAGCTATCGACCTGTCTGACCTCTTGAGATCTTCTAAATCACGCAGAGAAGTTGGACGGAGCTCGGCTTGAGAACAGCAGATGAAAGCGGAAGCGAGAAGTTACGATCAAAGTTCGTGTCATGCTCGTCCCCTGTGGTTGCCTTCCAGTTGCGGTTTTTGTCCGCCACGGGTTGACACAATTAGACTGGGTCCTAACAGATCCTGTCGCAACCGGCAACGATTAAGATGTGCGACACACGAAAGCCGCTGGCAGTCGAAGTGTGCATTCGTTCTGGACGTTCAGGAAACAGTACTTAGAGCACATGCTGAACTCAACCGCGAGACACGTTGCCGCTGAACCACTGTGGCTGTGAGGGCTGCAGCTGCTGCAGAGGTCGTGGCTGCGAGTACTGCATTCCACAGCTCCACGAGAGTGCCTGCCGAGCACGCCGTCATCAATTCGGGTCGGCATTCTAGTAACTAGCACCTGTACATCGATGTCTGCACATGTGCTGCTGGCATAACCGAGCCTGTGCGGGCTGTGAAGCCTGCAGACGACCCTGCTGCTGCTGCTGCTGCTGCTGCTGGACGCACAACTCGTGTTGAAAGGGCTGTTGGGTGCGATCCTGAATGTATGCTGTTGAAGCTGCTGGCGCCTGACCACAAGGCTGCATTGCGGCAGCTGAGCAGGGAGCTTGCAGCTGTGAAAGGTCTGGTCTTTGGATCAGCGGATTCTGAAGAGTTCGGAGGAGTCCGAAGCCCAGCTCAGGCTGTTCGTGGGGAACTCCGCTTTGCGATCCACAAGCACCGTGACACGGAACTGTACCAGCAGCGCCAGCTTTCGTGACGTCTGGCTGACCGCCGGCTTCAGACGGTCTGACATCAGGGCGCAAAAACAAAGTCTCAGAAACACGACAAAGAAACGATGTCCTGAGCATCCAGCCTGTATTGTGCGCGCACGGGAGATGGCCTGAGCAAATCGAGCGGCATGGCAACACCGGGACGTGGACTTGTCGTGCCGAGTGCCGTGCTGCGGTTGAAATGTGAATCCTGGGCGGCTTGGCATTTTTATGTCGTCGTATCCCGGGCCAGGCAACATGATCACATCCGGTGCCAAGCTTTGTCATGCCAACCACGCAAGTGCCTTCCAAAGTCGCCGACAGCGTGCTTGCAGGAGGGCAGGCCCGTGCCTCCAAGAAGGGTAGCCATGGAAGCTTGTTTTCACTAGGGCCCAAGGCGGCTGTTCACTCAGAATGTTTGAAGCCTCAACACTATAAACTGCAATCTTTCACTCCGTTCAAAGTACCCCACACAAGAGAAACAACAACAACAACAACAACACCAGCAGCAGCAGCAGCAGCAACAACAACAACAACAACGACAACGAAAGCTTTCACCCAAAGGAGCATAGATCCCTGACACGGACTTTTCTAACTGTTTTCGCTTCGGTGGCGTTTTCTGCGATCTTGACTCTCATCGGAATCTAATCGTGTTCATCGAAGAAGACTCACATTTCTTACAGAAATTGTCTTTCGATGTTTCGGAGAACCGACCGTTTCCTGGTCGGATCTCGCAGAAAGAAAGCAGAGAAATATTTAACTATTGAAAACAAATTCTGTACCAGATCTTAAGCCGAATGGCAACGAAGTATGACAGACTGAATATGAACAAACTCGCATTCAATCGGACTCAGTAGATCCACACATGGTCCGATCGGTGATTGACGAAAGCAAAAAGTTGTCAGTTTCGCACAAAAGTGCGCTACAGCTACACGACAACGAAGGCTTTCACCCAAAGGAACATAGATCCCTGACAAGCGGACTTTTCCAACTGTTTTCGCTTCGGTGGCGTTTTCTGCGATCTTGACTCTCATCGGGGTCTAACCGTGTTCATCGAAGAAGATTCACACTTCTTACAGAAATTGTCTTTCGATGTTTCGGAGGACCGACCGTTTCCCATCGGTGGTGGTCGTTACTGGTCTATTTCTTTGAGGGCTCGATGCACAAAACCGATGCCCGGAATATCCGTGAATCCTACGGCCCTACGGTGGATGCAAAACCTATATCCCCAATGATCTTCGCAGCACGGCTGGTTATCGATGACATCGGTAAATCGATCCGCAACCAATGGTTTGCCTCATCGATGTCCTCGAATCGGCCAAGAGCATCGGAGATATTAGCCTTGGTCGGAACTCGACCCAATCTCTGAGCAAGTCCTTTCTTCCGGTTATGCCTTGATCGCAGTTCAACGGCTAGTGCTTACCGACACTTTTGATGAGTGCATGTCGTGAGGCTTCGTTATCACAACATTGAATGTGGAAACGGCCTAACCAAGGCTCGAACACCATCGGGGCAAAATGGCTGCCCAAGCTTCGAGGAGGTAGATGCAGGCTTGATCGGAGGAGAATTGTCTGAGGAGGATCGAAGGAAGTCTTCCTTGGAAATAAGCAGCGCGACGCACGTCACCTTGCTGGAAGCATACGGCCGCCCAACCATTCTCCATGTCCTTCGTTGAGTCGGAATTCGCCTGGGCGGGCGGTAGATCTTCTCCCCCAACTTGAAGTAAGCGTGGTGTAGATGACGCTGTATGTTTGGGCAACTGGGTTTCCCGGGTATCGTCATCGGTCTGCAATTGAACGTTGGAGTTGGCTCTGGCGTACAGGGCAACCCGAGGGGCGCGTCCCACCTTGCCGAACAGGCGTCCAGTCAGGAAATTGCACTTGCCTGCCGTCTTCCTAGCTTCTTCGAGAGATAGCCGGTTGTCCTGTAGGTGTTTGTCAATCTGTTGGCACATCGTCTTCACTCGGGCAGAACGCGGTGTCAACACAAGGTTGTCAGCTTCGGACGTCTCTTGCTCGGCTTCATGGAGATTTCGAGGCAGCAGTTGTAATCTTCGAAGGCACCGAAACTGCTATCTGCAGAAATCTGATCCTCCATGGAGCCATAGTCGTCGATGTAGTGAAGGGCCGGGGATAGAACCTTCGTCCGACTGCAAGCGACGAGCACATCGCCAAAGCGGCGTTAGGACCAAACACTGACTGCAGAACCGAAGAGCAGGACATTATGGCTCCACAGCGTTGGTCCCATCGGTGTCAGCAGAATTCGGTAAGCTTCTCGAGGATCGTGCAGAGGCAACTGTCTGTTCGCTCCGTCGCGATCGTGCCCCCAGACTTTCAGAGGTGTGTCACGACCGTGTTCGGGGAAGACTAACCCGAGTGAAAGGAAATGATCCGGTGTATGATCCTAGGCTGGTCGCGCATGATGCACGTAGCATTATGTCCGCTTCGTCGCCAGTCGTCAGCTCGTCGGATCTTCGATTTGCCATCGCTGCCGGCTTGTTTGATGCTGAGGCCATCGCGATGAAGGGGTCATCCTGCGGGAGTGGAAGTAGGTGATCGTGACCGTCACGCTGTGGGGCCACCGCCTGGGAAGGCCACCAGCCCGGTGCCACGAATGGACCGTTCATGCGTCCCATCTTGACTTCACCCATCATCTCTTCCAACATGATTTCCCAATGATCGTCGACGTTGTTCTGCTCGCTTTTGTCGCGAATGTATTCGCGGTTCTTCGTCCAACGGCGTTGGTTCTTGGTATCTCCGGTCTTGCCTGACATGCCAGTTGACACCTGGAGCGAGTTTGCCCAAACGGAAGCCCTCCGAAAGTTCGCGACGTAGAACGTCTGTTTGGGGATATCGGAGGAGGCGCAACAAGTGTATAAGAACCGGGATCTGGGTAACGGAGTCACCATGTCGACACGCGCGTTGGACATGCGCAGGTAATGTCTGATACCAGGCTTCGGTGTGATCCTTCAGGTCGGTAACTTGACTGCGTATCTCCAATGCACAACAAGAGAACCTGTCATCATCCCCCCTCCCCAATTCTGCACGGAGGTCAAATACACGTGGAAGTCCAAGAAGAGGGGCATGTGCGAAAGTCGAAGGTCGGCACAGTGCCGACCGGAAATATTACGACAACACCGGAAAAACCGATGCGAAATGCGCAACGTATAGGAAACACTGCGAGAACTATGCAAAACGGACAGCTCAGATTTTTTGCGCACAGCGCAGCCCGGAAATTACCCAGTGTTTGCGCAAGCACAGCAAAAACCGCGGCGAAACAAAAACACAAAAAATCAAAACAACAACAACAACAACAACAACAACAACAACAACAACAACAGCAGCAGCAGCAGCAGCAACAACAACAACAACAACAACACCACCGCCAACAACAACAACAACAACAACAACAACAACAACAACACCGCCAACAACAACAACAACAACAACAACAACAACAACAACAACAGCAACAGCAACAGCAACAGCAACAGCAACAGCAACAGCAACAACAACAGCAACAGCAACAAGAACAGCAAAGACAACAAGGACAAGGTACAAACGACAACTGCAGCCCCGTCAACCCATATATCTGGTTGTCTGTACATTAGGTAGAGACTAAAACAAGAGCCCCGTCACGCTGTCTTACCCCAAAAAACAAAAGACAACACGTAGGATAGGAGAACATCGTTCGTAATGTCGTACGGCACCCATCTGCCAGGGGGTCGCCAATTCGTGAGTAAGTAGCATCCGTTGTCGATTCCTGAGTAAACCAAGTAGGGCTGGATGATGTTGGCGATGATTACGGTAACGAAACTGAGGCGAAGGATTCGTTCGCAGCATCTTGCTCTTTGCCTCTGCATCAGGGTTGGTTCTCCGCGGGACAGGTGGCCACATGGGAGCCCGGGCGGCCAATTTGGGGCCCAAAAAAAAGGCAAATTTGGCCAAAAAACGAGGGCATTTTTTGCAATTTTTTGCCCTTTTCTCCCACAAAATTAGGCGCGGACTGCCCGATTCTGCCCTCCTGCTCGGCCTCTAAACGGCTCACAGAGACAGCTTGCAGATGATGCTTCTTTCTATCGTGCGTTGGCTCAGGCTTGAAGCCCAAATGCCTGCCAAAATCCTGGCCACAAGAGCAAACGTCCACAACACCTAGGCAACTTTCCCGCTTGATTCGGGCTTCAGAACGTGCGCAGATCGGACAGTAAGCTCGGGGCTTGAGGCGGTCCCAGGTAGGCCTCTTTCTTGTTCGGATTCCAAAAGAACACGTTCAAGATCTTGCCCCACAGAAACTGCATCTGCGGTCAGCCTGATCATCGAGCACTTCTGCAGCATTTTTTCCTGCTGTCGTGTAGTTGAACCTGTCCTGCGCCACGAATCCCTGAAGCCTCTGGCCGGGTCGACCCCTTGCGTTCAACGAAAATTTCCTGGCCGGCAGCAGCAGCAGAGACCCCGGCCATGTTGGAGTTCGAAGCTGCTTTCACCACGGCACTCCGGAAGCCAAAAGACACCCTCCGATAGCCTCTGGTGGTCCTGATTTTTGCCCCTGCTCAAGCAATGCCAAGAACAAAACACCGAAACAATGCACACTAAAAAGCCCGCCTCAGCAGGCTCAGCTGCTCCAGCTTTGTCCGCTTCCATATGGAGTCAGTGCGAACGCTGGCCTCCATCATGTCGCTCAAGCACAGCAAATGAAACTCTGCAAATTCACGTAGGGCTGTCTCTTCTTGGCCGTGATTAGGTTGCTTCGCTCGTCTACTCTGAGCTTCGTCAGAACAAGTGTCGTACTCAAAGTCTTGCAGCCGCCCACCAAATCACCAAGGTCGACCAGGACCTCTCCTTCGACCATTCGCCAGCGAAGCTCGAAAAAGACATCACTGTCCTGTGCCGTCGTGCCACTTCAAACAAACTCTGTCTCGCAGAACGTGCTCAGAATGCCTTTGCCATGCTTCTGGCACGGCTCCTGATTTCCGAGCTTGGCAACAGCCAGGAAGAATTGCTACGGACATCTTTGCTAAACCATTCGTCAAGAGCACCAGCATTCCGAAGGGCGAGACATGCCAGTCATTGTGAGTGGCAGTACTCGGATCCGACGCCTCCTCAGCGGCAGCTGCCGTGTCATTTGGCGCTGTCTTGTCCTGAGGCGTGAATGTCGCTGCCCAGGAAGACTCAGACAGATCCGCACAGGCAGCCTCTAAAGCCTCGTCTTCTGAGTGAAGTAGAGCTTTGTAATACTTCGAAAGCAAATTTCTCCAGGCCGTGGAGCTGGCCCCAAGGAAATTTTTTGGAGCATTTCCCAGGCAGTCAATGGCCCATCTCAAGACAAAGGCGAGGGGCGAAAGCGGCAAGGGC